TTTCAATTGCCATACTATGGGAAAGCCTATAAAATCATAAAAATTCAAACAATAAAAATAGTAATTTTGAATAAATATAGAAAATATTCAAACACTTACTAATAGTAAACATATTTTCGCAAGTATGTATACAAAAATATTCATAATTACCAAAAAAATCATGAAAATTAATTTTGCAAAATTCAAGCACGGCATAATATTTAGCTAATTACTCAAGGAATCACTAAATAATGTATAAAAATTTCCAGAAAAATAATAGCCTGACTATTACGAAGTGTGTCATTAATAGCGGTGCTGGCGGTGGTGATACTGGTGCTGCACATGCTCTACCAGTTCGCCCGATATATACTTGACTTTACTGGGGAACGGGTGCTCTCGAGCTGCCAGTGACTTCGCATTCATGCGGTTGTAAGCGAGCCGTACAGCCGGAGCTACATATGTGCAGTCCTATTGTATAATATTCATGACATACCAGCCCTTAACACACATATACCATAGTATATATATTCACCGGAGTTTTTGACACGAGTTATACAAACTCGCAGTTGATTTGTGTTGTGCTTAATATATCGTTAATAATATTATTCTTACCACTCGTTCACAGTTGAGAGACACAAGAAATACACCGAAAAAACACAAGTTTTTTGTGTGTTTGAAAAGTACGAGAAAACTCTGCTTTCGATCCACTATTCTGTGAAAAATGTTATGAATTTCATATACAATGAGAGCGAGTGAATGGGATGTCATTCATTCAAATGAATACTATTTTACATGAATTGTGCCGAAATGAATGAATAATAAATAATTTTTTGTATTGTTTTGTTACGTAATGTACAGACATTTGGATAGAAATTAGCGGTTTCTCTCCCGCACTCAATGTTCAAAACTATTGTCCATATATTTAGCAATTGTATTGTGAATGCAAACACAAAAAGTAACACATAATTGATATTCTCTATGCGTTTTGTTCATCACATTTTCCACTCTCTGTTCATATGATTGTTGTATTTGAATGAATGGTCTCTCAAATACATACTACAGACACACTCTCATAGTCTTTAAGAGGCGATGTCTATCACCACCACTGGTGTAACACTGGCTTAAGTGTCGAGAGAGAGAAACCGAGAAAATTATCATTTTAAATGTAATGCACTCTTACTGTCGGCATATGTTGTGTTTGGGCGACCATTTAGTCCACCACTCGGTACCCACTCATCAATTACACCAATAATTGATTACAATTTATTTGATTCACTCCATAAGCGACTACCACCTCCTCAATGGGTTTGTATTTTTAGTTTTTCAATTTGTTTTGCTACTATCTATTTGTATAACTTTTCAATTACTTAAAAACTAGATTTTTGCTCTAAGATTGAATACTATGGCTCAACATACTATCAATTCTGTGCATATAATAGCAAAAAATTTGAGATCATTTATATCGTGTAGTGTTTTTATGCATTTAAACTCACTTATTTCAGTAGTGTATTAAACTTATTGGAGATTTTATTTTATTGAATATCAATTTCTATTACGAGATGTTATCAATAATATGTGTCTAATATAAGGGAATTGTATGTATTTCTTGCAGGAATACAATCACAAAGAATTATATATATACAGTATAAACACAAGCAAAACCTATTTATTTATTTATATATTGATATTGAAGTTTTGTGTAGATTTGAATTTTTTGTTGTATTGTTTCGATTACGCAAAATGTAAGAAAATTTAAGCGAAAAAAGACAAAAAGTCGAGTAGTTTAGAGGGAAATGATGCGAAAAACTTGTCTCTGAATAGCGATTCAGTTTTGATTACTTTTAGAGTAACTCTCGGATAAGAATAGCCAACTCTCGCACAGAATATTCTGTTAGATATTGCCATCAAAACGCACGTATACTCAATGGGATATTGTTTAAGACATGTATTAATTTTTCGCTCAAAACACACTCATATACTACAGTAGTATATAATAGTGTCAGTCCATTGTATTCACTCAATACACACCAAATATATGAGAAAAGAGTGAAAATATGAGAGCAGTTTTATTTTTGCCGTAACCGTAAAGCCTTTATATGTGTTTTCCTTCAACTCATTTGTTTTTTGCAATCATTTTTTGGTTTACGGAAAAATTTTTAGCAATTTTTTCAGTTCACACTCTCCGATACACATAATATTCTCGCCTTTTTTGCTCACATTTTCTTATAAACCATATAATGGCTCGAAGTGTATAAATCATGTTTTTGTGGTTACACTCTCTCCTTTGCTCTCTCTCTCTCTCTCTCTCTCTCTCTCTCGCTATTCCTTATTCTTGTGATTCTCTCTCTCATTCCCGATCTCCTGATCCCCTATTCCTTTACGTATGAGTGCCCTATCATAACACATCACATATCGGCCCCTGTATTCCGTGTGCACAGCACTGGTATGAATCGTTATCACAGTGTGTATCGCATCCCTATCTATACTAATATAACACAAAAAATACTATTTATTGTTCCTATCATTTGACATAAAGTATATATTATTTTATATAAAACACATACGTTTGGTAAATGCACTAAATTTAAAACCCAAAGTCCCTTTTATTACTCATATAAATAATACTATACCATACTAACCCATACTAACCCATACTAACCCATACTAACCCTTAGCCAGTGGTTAGTTATTCTCAGTGTTTATATAATTTTGCGAAACATATATAAAATCATTAAAATATTTATTGTGCTATCGATTGCAGCCAGCAATCACATTATAACAAAGCATTTATATATGCAATATTTTTATACGATTTATTTAATGGCTTATGAAAAGCAAAAACTTATTAAAACACTATTTATTACCCATAGTATTGACGATATCATAGACCTGAGCCGTAATTAACATAATTAATAGTCGGCTCTGATATTAATTCTTGATTTGTTTCGCAAAAGCTATGCTTAAGAGCTATAATAAAACACAAAAGTATGGAAACAAAACTACAAATGAATTATATTTCTCAATGAAAATTTGAATAATAGGTATGCGAGCTATAAATACATACATGCAATGAGTAGAAAATAATAGTAAAAATTATGATAAAATATATTATATTTTTTTAGGAATATGCTAGTATATACTATATTAGGCACGCAATGATTTGCACACAATAATAGCAAAAAATTTGACGCTATTATCAGTTTGATTACTCCCAAAAGATACTAATCCAGCAAAAAATAATATTATAAATGCGAGAGAGAGAGAGAGAGAGAGAGAGAGAGAGAGAGAAACTGCAATTCCCTTCATAACAAATATAATTCATAATTTTATTTTTGTGAAACAAATTGTGTGAATCTGCACTTTAAAGTCATTTATTGTGCACTCATTTCCTGCAATTGGATTAAATTAAATGATTTTTTAATATTTTTCATTCTGTAATCCATTTCCATATACCACACACACGACAGCGATGGTAGACTGGACTCAAACGCAACAACAGCCGCCCCCACCACCACCGCAACAGCCTGTCCACAGCCATCCCAACTCATCGCACATAGAAATAGCGGCTAAGGCCTACCTCGAGACCAATGTCCGCTATTACCTGCAAAATGTCAATAATAACACCGGTGCCGATCAGCACCAGAAGTCGAGCACCGGTACCACCAGTGCTAATAGGAATGCGGCCACAGATTTCATTGTGAGGTAAGAAAAAAATCAATTTTCACTACAATATTGTATATAAATATTCACTTCTCTATTGTATTTCTCACTCACACTATGAATGAAAGCAATTTTGGTATAAAAATTTCATCGCATATAACAATATGTGATAACAAAAAACTCTTACGTTATTTAAGCATTGAAATAGTCTTTAGTTATATTATATTTTTGGTGAAGTTTTTGTTTGTTTGGCGTAAAAAAGGAAAAAATCTTTATTTTGCCCACAATTTAGGCTAAAGAATAGTGAATTACATAATAGTGTAATAAAAATAACTATAAGATTTTGTTTGTTGCCATCATACAATTCATTCAGTGCCTAAATAGCACTGTTGCCTTAAAATTATAGTTTTCGCTATAAATACCAGGGATAGAAAATGTTTAGAATATCTTATTTATACCACTCATCGTATTTATCCTCATTATAACAACATTTTCGGCACTCAAACATCAAAACCTCTTTCAGAAAAACGGTGTTTTTGTTTGACAACAGAAAAATCACTTCTCTATAGAAAATAGAAAGTCATATAAAAAGGATGAGAGAGAGAGAGAGAGAGAGAGAGAGAGAGAGAGAGCTATGTATATAAGAAAAATATACACAGAATTTATCGCACCTTAGATTACATTTTGTTACATCAAATTCTTGTACCAAAAACGGTGGTCGCAATCGCTTACTCGTATATACACAGTAAAGGAAAGGCAGATATGCACTGTTAGTATGCCTTTCCAACACTTACTCCACTGTACATTAACTTATAAAACACTTTTTCAGTTGTAAATTCTCTCTCCATTAGTATCCGCGATATTTTTAAAGGCATTCCCCGTGTATATATCAAAACATGAGATATTGAGTGAGTAGTAGCTTTTTCTAAGGGGACAGGGAGGGAGAGTAGGATAACATATTGAAATTGAATTTATATAGCGCTTAATTAATATTTAAACATATTTATATTTATATGGATAATGTCTGCCTAGGAATAAGTGCACATAAATTATAGCATTTTGAAGGTTAATATGGAAAGCCATTATAAATATATTTCTTGATAACTAATGACTAAATAATATATCGTATGTTATTATAGAGGGTTACAATTATTTTGAATACGTAATCCGATTTGTATTAATCCGGAAATGTACTAAAAATTAGTTGTGGCCTAAAATAAAACTTCTCGAAAATAGTGTATTAATTATTGTTTTAAAATCTAATGACTGCGAAACTGTATTAATAGTGCGTTTAGAGGCAAATTTATTTTACACAGTTAATTTAATTCTCATTATAATTAATGCCATATTATGTAGAAAACTAAACACAAAAATAACTGCAAATTCATATCCAGGAAGGGGTGTATGATAGAGACAAATGAGACACCAAATAATACATAGTTTTCTCCCCTAAACATATACTTATGTAAACTAAATAAACTTCATAATTCACTTAACAATGAAAAACAAACTTTAAGTCAAGAAAATAAGGGATATTTATATATAATATTTTCTTTATGTTTTTCTATATTATTTTAAAACTCCTCATTCAATGAAAACATATTTTTATTATTTTGTATACAATTTTTTTACAACAAAACGTATTAAAATAAATTGAATATATCTCTCTCTATGCGCTATATTTTTATGACTCTACAGTGAATTAGACATTAACTTAATATTACATAAGGTTTTTGTGTTGTTCAACACAAAAACCATCACAAAATATAAATACACAAATATAATAAATATATAAAACGGTGTATCAGTCTCTCTCTCTCTCTCTCTCTCTCTCTCTCTCGCAGTAACAGAGAGATAGAGAGAGAAAATGGTTTGCATTTCATCCATCAAACAAAAAAGGCGACTCGTATTTAAAGTTTATTATAATATTAGCCATTAGTGAGGCATAAAAAGTATATACCAAATAAAGTGCAGAACTTTTTTTTGTTATTCTCTAAAATACACATTTAGTTTTTTTGCTCACAAATGAGTCCAAAATGTAATATTTCTGTGTTATATATGCGGTGTGTGTTTAAAGTGAGAAAAACTGATTTTTGTTACTTAAGTAACCCATAAAAGAAACGCACATTTGGGAGACTTTTTAAAAAATATAACTAATACAGTATATCCAAAAAATTATATAATACTGTTATATAAATTTGTATTTATATAGAAAATTACTATTAGATGGTAAGCAGTGCACTAACACTAGTGGTAACTCATGTATGTTTGCATGCTATTTAAGTTTTTTTGGGGGTCGAAATAAATTGCATTCATTTTATTTTTATAACAAAAAGCCGTTTCCAGTCATTTGAACCGATTTTGTGCACAGAATTAATCGCATCGACGAGTTTTCCTATGACTTATGCTTTTATGTATGAATTGTTATGTATTTTATATTTCCTTACATAAGAAACTGTGTTCCATATGTAGGAGCCCTTTGGGTCTCGTATATAAACGGATAGACATTATATGATGAGTCTCTCTCCAGCCTCCAGTTATATCATACACACAGTTATAATAGTTAACACACTATTATAGCTATTAATATATAAATCCTTAAACAGCGACCAAAACGCATACAAACACACAAAGTGGTGGCAAATAAGTAGCGAAACAAATGATTGTTTGCATTCCTATTGTTATTCTCCTTTTGGTTTGTCTTACGAGAAATTCCTTACGACTATTGTCTGTGAAAAAAATGCTGGAAATCGGAGAGAAATAAATATTTCTCGAGACACACGAGTCAGAGCACTGGTAAGCACTGGATATACTGTACAATAGGGCACATACACCCTGAGACGTGTGCCATAGCAAGAAAACGATACATACTGTACATACCATTTCCGAAATGTTGCATATATTCCGTTCCCCTTATTCTCTCTCTCTCTCTCTCTCTCTCTCTCTCTGCCATCGTCTTTAATATGTTCTTAAGGCGTGCGACAGATGTTTTCATCTGTGCCATGGCATCAGTAGCACCAGCAGTACCAGAGCACAGGCATCATCATCATCATCAATGCCATGGCAGGCCTACCCATACATCTCCAACTCCTTCTGACTCTTTCTTTTTCGACTTCTTCTCTCCACATAAGAAGTGTTGCATTATTTTCTTCGCTTTCTATAAGCTTTTCTTTATATAAAAATTTTCTGTAAGTCTTAAGACATAAGAAGTCATAGCAATACATATCACACACTCGACTGACACTTTCCATTTCCTTTCTGCCTTACGTTCCCATTCCTAACAAACATTTCTAGTTTGAGGTTTCGGGAGATGGGAGGCTAAACAGCCATCCATTCAGACCTACAACTTAAATGTTAGTATAGAGTACTGGTGTCTATTCCCATCCATTCTCTCTCAGTCTCTCTCTCTCTCTCTCTCTCTCTCTTCTCTCTCTCTCTCCAAATCTTATTATTACATTATATTTGAGTTTTTGTTTTTTCCTTTTTTCACAACATTATTGAAAATATTTATCACACAAAACGTATTGAATTGAATTTCACGCACAAAATACAGTACATATTCACACCGAAAAAACTTCTGTCATTCAATAGACTTGACAACTGTTTTATGCATAATATGTTATATATTTCTCTTGTGTCTTGGTATTCAATTTAAATTAATTTTTGTTTTTTATGTTCACGTCCAGACATAAGTTTTCACTATTTTTGCTTAAGATTTGTATGTGTAATAAATTTATAGCCCAAAAAATATTAAGATTTTTTTGTGCAGTCTATTATTTATGTCACCCGAAAAATATTATATAAAATAATATATAATATAAAAAAATATTATTCATATTCTCGGCGAAAGAGTTCGTGATTTACATTTAAATGACTTATGATTTTTAATATTGTTTATCACATATGAGAGAGTTTTTGATGTGAAAAAGTCGCCAAAATATATTCAATATGTTTATCACAAATATTTCAAAATGCTTTAATATTAAGAAATTATTGTATTTTTAAAATTATTTCAGACTTAATGACAAACTAAAAGTCTGTTTCATACGAAAAAGTAGTAATTTTCTCATTAAGTGATTACCATATTCTGGGGATCATTACAAATACATTAGTATTTATATTTTTGTGTCGAAATAAATACAATTCAAAGTTTTGCGAAATTCATATTTAATACACACGAGAAACTCATCTCAAAGACTAGTATTATACTTGAATTTTGTATAATATTTGTTATTTTTGTTACTATTTTATGCTTTAATTTTCGTAATTATTTTAAACGAAATAAAGCATTAATTTCTAAAATTAGATTATAGACAAAATTGAATTACAAATAATTAGTTATGAAAATTTATGATTACTATTATTTGTGATGCCATTTGTGTTGTACATTATTCGCATATTTGACTCTCGAGTGTCTAAAACAAGATTTAACGACAAAATTAATACAACAAAAGGTTTGGAGAAAGACATCACAAGATTTGGATCGAAAAAACGGGAAACAGATTTGAATGTTAGGGAAGATTGACGTCTTATTAAGTAGTAGTTGAATAGCTCTCTTGCTCTCTCTCTCTCTCTCTCTCTCTCTCTCTCTCTCTCCATCACTATCTCTCTCAGACTCTCTGATCCAGTGCTGAGGAGCTGTTTCTCGAGTTGGACTATGCATATGTAGTGCACAAATGTGTTCACAAGTACGTCGATTATGACTAGAAATATAGTCTTCACTTTTGCTCATCTTCTTCAACCTCTCTCTCTCTCTCTCTCTCTCTCTCTCTCCATCACTATCTCTCTCAGACTCTCTGATCCAGTGCTGAGGAGCTGTTTCTCGAGTTGGACTACAAATAGACATCAAATATACAGAAAAAGAGTGTAAAAATCAACTCAATTGTCATTTCTCGAGAGAATTAAAAAAATAACTTTTTTCTCTCTCTTTTCTCATCCAATTTCACGTCCCCTTTGAATGTCTGCTCTATTTTTTCCTTGTGATGAAAAATTTGATATCAAGAAAACGTATCAAATTTATTATCGACGCAAACACACAGTAATGAAATGTATTAAATATTTTTGTCTGTATATACAGGGTAAAAGTCTATTGTAATGTTATAAGTCTATTCGCAAATCTAAGAAAGTCGTGGCTATACACGCGATTTGTATTAGGATTTTAAACTAATGTTGACATTAGTCTACATTATATTTAACACATTTGACTGCGAAAATCAAATTAAATAAAATAAAACTTCAAACAAATAACAGGGAAACAGGTTTCACACGAATTGATTACTCAAATAATTTGTTTAAATCACTATTCAATCATTGCTTGTACACTATGTGTTGATTATGTTTTTTAGTTTGTTGGCAAACATGATTTTCTATCACACATGCTATTTATTCATGCGATATTTTCTCAAATTTCAAATTTGTGTGTAATTCACACACGGAATTGCATTCAGTTTTTGCCAAACGGTATGGAAATCATAATAAGCCGTGTATTGCAATGCCTGGACCCTCTTATTTCATTTCTAATTACATTTACGGTTTGAGTGAGTCGTCTGAATAGAAGTAAATGTTATTCATCTCTAGAGAGCACACAAACAGTGATGAGAGAGAGAGAGAGAGAGAGAGAGAGAGAGAGAGGTTGAAGAAGATGAGCAAAAGTGAAGACTATATTTCTAGTCATAATCGACGTACTTGTGAACACATTTGTGCACTACATATGCCTATAAATGTAATGTTCACATCAGGTTTGGGCTATATTTTCATACATTAAGAAGTCAGAGGATGAGGAGGAAAGGCTATAAAGCTATCCGAGTGCTTCTATCAGGTTATGCATACTTTTTTCCTGTGGCTGAGCACTGGTAGGCAATTCGTAAGGCTATACCATAAAGACATGCTTTAAGATACAAGACTGGGAAGAGACACACGGATGACACAAATGAATGGCAAGAGTGAAGACTAGAGACACAAAGATCTGCTATTGTGTGCCATTATCTGCGACAACAATCGCTTAACTTCTTGACGCTATTTATAAAACCCATTCATTCATTGAATTACCACTCAATTCATATGTAAATCGTTAAGACTTTTTGCCTGTACTATACCATTTCAGCAGTGATGGCACTGATAGCTGATAGCATAACATAGTTTAGTTGAATGACTGAACAAACGAAGTAATTGTGTTGAGAGTGAACTTGTCCTCAAAAACCGAGGCAAACATTTCCTACACATTAGTCCATAGGTTTTCAAAACTCAAACTCCAAATACTTTTCTCGTGTATTAGAGTCGAGTGTTTTGAATGACGGCTATTGTATTCAATCCGTGTATTGTTTTTCATCACAAATTGAAACAATGAAAGAGAGAGAGAGAGAGAGAGAGAGAGAGAGAGAGAGACTCTATTAAAACAAATTAATCGATAAATCATTTTGTGATGGCATGACATCCCAACCTTGACTTCTGGCTGTCGGTCCACTCGGAATAACAGCCTTTCCGGTCATCTCTAAACTCATATCATATCTCTATTGTCGCAGTCTTTATGTCGAATACATTTGTTGTTATAAATCATTTGGATTTTCAGTTATATTTTTGATACCAATTCATATCGTAGTTTGATTTCCTATCATACCATCCATACCTCTCGCCCACACAATCACCGGTTCCGCCACCGACTACAAGAAGTTCATTAAATGTGATGATCATCTCTAGAGTTGATTTCCCGGAGTCCTGTCATAAAAATGAGAGTTTATGAGAGAGTGAATATCATATCGCTTTTTGTCTCCCACTACTTGTCTCTACACTATTGGCAGTGTTTTATCATTCATTCAATGATAGACCCCATCATCGATAGGGTTGACTCGCATTTGTGCGCAAAAATAAAGTGAAATATAAATTAAGTCCGCAATGAGTTGTAGGATAAGAGTCTCTCTCTTGCTATACTATACATAACATTCATTTTGGGGATAAAAATGCTAAAAATTTCAATTTAAAAGTTTTTTCTCGTCAACAACACGAGAGAGAGAGAGAGAGAGAGAGAGAGAGAGAGATCTACACAAAAAGTTGTGAAGAAAACTTAAGACTGAAGAGAAAATACTATCAATCAATCAGTTTCTGGTGTAAAGTTTTTAAGGCTTTAGTATTTACGATGTGTTAGTCTATAGCCGTTGTATGAGTTTAATAGAGGCCTTTAGATTGGGGTTTACTGTACGAGTAGACGAGTCAGTGGTTAATATCTGAGTTGCAATTCACATGAAATACACGGAAAAGTTGAGAAAACTACATAAGAAAAGGCAAATTCAATGGAAAGCCTATGTATGGACAGGCTATGGCTAAGGGAGCGACACATCTGTAGTGAGACTACAAGACTTGTTAGTGATTCAGTTGGCGTCGTATTAGTGTTTCAATGCAATGGTCATTGCTGTACGTGAAGGGCGGACAGGGATTGCAATCTCGAGAAAATAGGAAATTGGCTGAAGCCGTACGACAGGCCATACCATACCAGCGCCAAAATCTCGCTCTAGGATTTCTGTGACAATAACTATGACTTTGATGAACACCAATATTATTATTATTACTCTCTCTCTCTCTCTCTCTCTCTCTCTTCGACCAATTTTTTCATCAATTCTTTGCATTACTTTCATCGCCAGTAATAGGAAACACTTATCCCTTCGTTGAGCCGTTATTCTGAGCCTTAATTTTACAGCTCTTTAGTAGAAACTGGCGTTTTTGGCGACCATTCACCACCAGTTATATAACACACTCATTGTATTTAAAGCTAAATATATTAATCGAGAGCCCATTGTTTATTACATAACACTTAAAATGGTTAGTCCGTTATAAATAAGAGATAAGCCATTAATAGGGATGGACTGCCAAACTGTATATGCCATGTACTGTATATACGGCTAACCCATAGTAGCAAACAATTGTCTATTCCTTGCGGGTCTTATTTTTATTGTTTTTAATACTTTAGTCATAATAATCATAACTGGGAGTGAAATTGTATTTTTGTTGAAATGATATCTAATAAAATATTGATGCGATTAGAGGTGCACAATACAGTCATATATATTTTTGCACAAAAACACTTATTACCAGTGTGCTACT